ACCCTTTGGATACATTCCATTTCTGGCAACAATCGCTCCTTGTTGCTGACGAACTACATGCAGTCACTGTCTCACTAGCTTCATTAGTAGAAGAGCTTACGTGGGACAACAATTCTGTATTGAGTATTGGAGCAACTTTGCTCATGGAACACTTGCAGATAGAATCCCTGGAACAATGCTTGAGGAAGAACTGTTACAAACTGTATTCACCATGAACTTTTATTTTTCTTACAAGTAGCTACACTCCGCTACCTACCTATACTTCCCACATACATTGCCTGTTACGGTACCACCCGTCTTTGTTTGCTCAACACAAACATCTACCCTAAAGTAGACACTATATATATAGGCCTGTATTGTAGTTACTATCTCCAATATGATTGTACGCTTCAACAGTGTAACTTGGTATTCATCAGTCAAAACCCTCATCATCAGAATATGTCTCAAACTAATTCTCAACGAGCTTATCAGAAACTACTTGTATATCTGAAACCCAGTGTTACCAGGCTTGCACATTCCAAGCGTAACAGGAACTGCAAGAATGGAGAGAGAGAAGCGGTCAAAGTCTTCCTATGTTTAGGAGGCCAGACAGTATGCAACAATGCGAGGAATATCCTCGCCCAATGAGGGTATCTCACCTCCCCTCCCTCCGATTTGTTGTCCCTACCAGCCATAACGGGACACACATTTCCAGGGCGCCACCCCCCACACTTGCCACCGCCGCCTCCACCAGCATCTTGCCCATCATCACCAGATCTTGTTCTACCCGTGCCCGCTCCACCATCCCCAGCACGTTCCTCCATAACCGACTCAATAGTCCCCGCAGCCAATGCAGTCAAAGAATTGCAGGACATATTGATCCCTACGCAACCAGTGACACCCCTCCCCCAACTCCCTCAACCCCGTCGCAACTGCCGACTATGCCACCAGCGCCCAGAGCTGGTACTCCTTATCCCTTTGGGTTGCACTCCCCGTGTGCAGCGCACAAATCAGAGACAGACCCCCATATTGAGCAACGGCTCATCTCTGGATGGAAGGTTGTTGAGGGACAGTGAAGGTGACGCCCCATCCTCAGGCAATAGAAGCAAAAGGCCCTCGCCAATCTCAGACTATTCTAATTCTACTCATTCACAATCCTCTTCTGAACGATGACATTGCCCTCGTATTTGATGATGTTATGCCTGTCAAGAATATGGCCATCGTGCCATCTATTATCGTTATCATACTTGTTCTATATGCGGATTGGACGCCCCCGGACACCGCGCTAACAAATGTAACCAACAACGGAAGTACCCCTTCACCACAGACAGTTGGGGATTAGACGATATGCATAACAATCTAGGCAAGGACACACAGTACAACGTAGACGTTGTATCACCTAGTAGTGGCCAGCTAATCTCCTTTTGCTTTGGCAAAGCAAGGCCATTACTTGGATGAAGAGCCTTCTTTTGTTCATGGAGCAAATACTTTGCTACTATCTGTACGGAAAAGGAAGTAAGGGCAAGCCATGCAGGCCAAACCTCAGTATAGGAGGTGCAAAGCAAGTATATCAGCTTTTTTTGGTCAGATGTGGTAGGCCGTTTATCAGGGTGCTCAAGCCACATTTTGAGCAGAGCAGCTGTTACAATACACAATTTTTGGACCTTTAAATTTCATTCTCCTCTTTAACTTTCTTCTGTAGTTTTCACACACTGTGCCATGTGGCACTTTCTATTTTGTTCAAACTCTACCTCTTGTGCTGCACTGCCTTTTTCCTTATTTTAGCTACAAGTCTCTCATGCAGTGGAGCTGGTCACACGGGCTGTGCCCCATGACATCATCAGCCACTGCCTGTATCAACTGTATAGTACATATGTACAAACAAACCTGTAGTAGTATATATACCCCAATAGATCAAGGAGACCCCTCAGCAAGTCCTCCTGTTGTTTACCCACAACTAACTTGGTCCTATCCAAAGGGTAACCACTCCCCTCACTACCTTTATAGCTTCATCTGAGTTGTGCGCCAGAGTAACTAACTCTTGGTTGTTACAACAACTGGTGTATGGCGGTCACAACCAGCTAGGAGCTCTTTTGCACCTTGATTTCAAACTCAACCGCTCCAATTGAATATGGCTGAGTATCACAGTAAAGGCTAGCTATTGCTTCAACCAGCGTAACTCACCACTTAGCTTTTGTGTGAATCGGTAGAGTTGATAGTGAAGCTCTCAGATGACGAACAATGCTAGTTTCAAATTTTTCTTACATCCCAAACAGATACTGAGCCACTGAGATAGTGAAACTGTCAGCCACTCCAATTAAAACACTGCTACAAATTGCAGACAACCTGAACCAAAACATGGGCAAAAAGAAATGGGATATTCAGAGTCATATAGGTCCAATGTAATAAAACTAAGTGAAACTACAATAGATGTTAGTTTAAGGTGATCTCTAATAAATGTAATGTAATATACCTCAGCCGCTGCCCGAGAGGCTATAGAAACGACTGAGGTATTCCTATACTAAACCCCCTACTACTTATAGTTGGAGGTGCTACTCGCTACAGTATAATGACTCCTAGGAGTACAATTGTGCTCCTAGGAGAACAATGGTTACTCCATGGAGTGGTGGCTATGCTCCATGGAGAACAATGGCTGCTTCGGCAGATACCGGGTTTATCCGGTTTTGTCATTCTCTTTAATGTTTGAAAAGACATCTTTTGTTTGTCCTTCCAGGTTCAATTGACTTTTCCAGTGAGCGTAGTGAGTGGCTTCACAATTTTTCCATAGCTTTTGATGAATCATCAATAGAAACTGGAGAATCCTAGAAACAATTGGAGTTCTCTCTTGTTCTTTGGTGTTGGCCAGTCGGCGACTGTTGCAAATTTTAACGGATCCATATGGATAGTGTCTTTGGGAATGATCAGGCCTAGGTGCTCTACTTCCTGTTTCTCAAATTCACATTTTTCCAGTTTGAGATATAATTGATTCTGCTGCAGAATTTGAAGTACTCTGGTGACTATTTGGCAATGTTCCTTGAGTGTCTCTGTGAAGATCATAATATTATATAGGTATACAATAACTTTCCCTTCCGTGATTAGTTCTCTGAGCAGGTGGTCCATCATTGTTTGGAAGGTCACCAGCAAGTTGGTAAGTCCAAAGAACATGACAAGGGGTTCAAACAGGTCGTGATTAGTCCTGAAAGTGGCTTTATGTTTGTCTCCCTCTTGGATTTGGACATTGTTGTATCCCCATTGTACGTCTAGCTTTGTGAAGCAGTTGGCCTCCTTGAGTTTATCAATGAGTTCAGATATGAGGGGGAGGGTGTAGCAATTTTTCATGGTAAGCTTGTTCAGCTTGCAATAGTCTTGGACAGGGCATAGCAAGCCATTTTTCTTCTTGATAAAGAAGAACAGGGATGCGTAGGGTGATTTGGACACTCGGATTTGTCTGCTTTTCAGATTTTTGTCAAGGAATTTGTCTAGATGGTGTTGTTCATCTCGGCTAAGAGGTACATTTTGCAGTCAAGACCATTAGCCTTGGATACTAATTCAATTGTGTGGTCCCAAGGACGTTTGGGGGGAAGTTTGTTGAATGATTATTTGGTAAAAACGGGTTCAAATTTGTGGTAGACTGGGGGGATGACGTCTCGGAAGGTGAGTTTTGACTTTTCTTTTTGGAGGATTCAGCTATCTGTTGGCTTTTAGTGGTGAAGGTGTTCAACTCCAGCTGTGTTATCTCCATGATTTGTGTTTCGAGATCAACGGCTAAGATTTTATCCCCTTCTTTAGGATGATACTCCAAATCATAAGTGGG